TTATCAAAATAAAAATACTGTGCTTATCCTTTGTTCCAGAAGTTTTCCATAATTTGCTGTAATATTGGGAAAATTACTTACCCTGTATGTGCTTGTTTCTTGTTAGTGGAAAGAGGATAATAATATATAGTATGTATCTCATAGGTTTAATACTTACTTCATTGGATTATGGTGAGCATTAAATAAATTAATTCATGAAAAATGCTTTCATGTCAATTTTTTTTTCATTACTATTTTTGCTGTTACACATAGGAATCCATTCTTCAGAAATACTTTGTCAAGTATGTAAGGAATGGATTTTGAAGGGTGTTCACTACAACAATATTGATAAAATAAAACATTGGAGACAATCTCAATGACCTTTGATAAGGGATTAGTAAGTACATTGTGGTATATCTGTAGGAGGCAAAATAGAGAAAGGATGCATGTGGGTACTAGAGAAACCATGACTGGATGCTAAATTCTGTCTCAGTCCTCACTAGTTGTGGAAATTGGTCCATTCCTTAATCTCTCTGTCTCAGTTTTTTCAACTATAAAAATGATGATAATAATACTGACCTTGTAAGTCTTTGTGAGGAATCAATGAGATATGACATGTAAATTTTTTGGAAAAGAATCAGAACATAGAGAGCATCCCACAAACCAAAGTGCTTCCTATGAAGCACTATGTATCCTGTATAAAAAACCAGGCAGGTCTGCATGAGCCGCTGCAAAAGGACACATTAGGAGAAAGATTTCATTTTTTCCCTGTAGATGCTGTATAATGGACGCAGGTAAAAGATCCACTTATATCTATCCTTATACTTTGCTGTAAATATTAAAATATTTGTTGTTTATTACTTTATCCTCTAATGACAGAAAGAGAACACCAGTTAAAAATATTTTAAATGCCAAACCTGACTATCTTAATTTTGATTACAAATGAAAAATTTTAATATTTTGATCAATTCAGTAGTAAAGAGTAAAAATCAAAATAAAAAAATACTTCTTGGTCTTTGAGTAATTTATTTGAATTTGTGAATTTAGGAAACATATGTTATATAGTTATATATGCAAGAAATAACACAAGTTAATGTTTTAATGGAAAGATTATGGTGACAGACAATATTGAGTGATTGCCACTTTATACTATTAACTTTACACTGAAATGACTTAACATGAGACAACAAAAATAGTTATGCTAACACATGTACTTTGTTTTCTGTGTCACTAAATCTCTTTAGGAGCAAGAACTTCATATATAGATTATCCAAAAAATATCTAAATAATTTTATGAAACAAACAGCCTTATTCAGATTTTTTTTAAAGTTGATTTTAATTTTATATAGAAAAACTAAAAAACAGAGCAGATGTGCATGCAAAGATAGATAAAAATACTGGCTGCTTCTCAGGAAAGGTGATAGTCTGTCTTTCATAGTAATTTATGTACGGTATAACAAGTAACCACTAAATGTAGTAGCAGGGGGAAATTTGGCTGGAATCGTTCCTTTTACAAGTCTCAGCCACACTTCCTGCCCATAATTTAATTCTAGTAAGGCATCTCCAGTCAAAACCCTATCACAGCGTATTTCACTGTTAATATTTTCAGATTCAAATGCAAGCTTGTCTCTTCCATCAACCACTAAAAATCCAGAGATATGGGCACTAAATGACTCAATGGTGTACTTAAAAACATACACCCCTAGATATGGAATTCTGAATTTTCCAGTTCTTGGAGTATATGAAGCTCCATAATTGACATCCAAATTATTAAATAGGATCGGACCAGGCGTATTCATTCCATATGTATGAGACACAAAAAATGCCACCATCGGTGCATATCTGTACGATCCTTTGGAAAAATCTGTTAGAGGAAAAAAATGGAAAGAGTTAATTTTTACGTTTGTGTCTTGTTTTGCCTTTTCTCATGTCTTATCATTTTATCTCAGCTACAAAAAGGGTTAGCAGAAGGAGAAAAAAGTCATTCATCAAGGGCAGGGAAGTCTAGATGCCTTCTGCTTCTCTTGGCTGAGTTATCCGAAATCACTTAGCCTCCCTGAGCCTCAGTTTCTTCATTTAGATCAGAATAGGATGATAATAACACTTGATACCACCGTCACAAAAACGCCTCAAAGATTAATTTGCATGTTGCTTTGATCTCTCCAGAGATGAAGAAATTCAAAGCACTCCATGATTATTATGGTATGCCAGAATGTTTTAAAGCCCCTTGAAGGAACTGAAGCTGACATGACTGTAGAAACAATTTTTCCAGCACCTTGTCAAGCAGTTTCTAGAGGCTAAACAGAAACCAAATGAAGTCATATGCACTACAGAGAAGTAGACAAAAGGAATTTTTTATGTAATTAATGCCAAATGTACTTACAAAGGCTACGATTAAAAAATCGATTCTTCACTATGCAGCCTATCAAGAAAAGTTTGATTTGAAATATGTTTTTGCTCTAATTGAAGAAAACATACTTTAAATGTTGCCTGTATTTTCTTGTATAAAAATCAGAAATGGTACATTCTTGAAGTAAATTTATAGCAATCAATACTTCTGAAGGTTAATGGACAAAAAAAAAGGTATCTTATTCTATTCAGTACATGTGAGCATGTTGAAACAGTCCTCACTCAGTCAAAAGGCACTATTAGGTTAACCTTCTTAGAAGATACACTACTAAGTACTTATTAAAGCTTCATTTAAGTGACCATATCTGATATGAATCAAAGGCATATTGCTTAACAACTTGTTCGAGGAGAAAGAGTTTACACTAGTTAGATATATACATCTGTACTTTCTTTTAAGATGCACAGTGAAAATAAAACCTGCCTCTATTATATCAGTGTTGAACAAGTCAACAAGTGTACATCATCAATATGAATTTACCTAACAAAGAAATAGTTCCACTTGTAAATTGTGTGCATTATTCATTAAGTTTCAGAAGAAAAGGGAATAATCGTCATATGAGTCCAGATTAAGCAGTCTTAAATATTCATTTGTAAATATTTTCCAAAAAGTACTTTTGCTTATGACATTGAACAAATCCAAGGATGCATGCACTTTCTTACCTGGAGCTAAAGCATTTTCTTCAGCCATCTTGACAGTACAGTTGTGACCAGTAAAAGGATGTCGGCAAGCACAGATAAAGCTAGTTCTTCCATTTATACACGTGCCCCCGTTCTGGCATGGGGACCTACTACAGACTTCCTCCATCACTGAAAATGAATCAAGATAAAAGAGGGTAAAAGTCAACTATCTTCATTTCATCTCCAATCACAGTTTGCAATAGAATGGGAAAAAAATACTAAGAATTAAGAAAAATAGATTCCCAGGCCCAGGTTGGCCACCAATGTAGCCACAAGACTTCATGCAATACCCTAAACTTTCTGTGCTCTTTCCTGCTTCTTGGGAAGTGGGAATAATTCTGCAATCCATTGCATTTATTTGTGTGGGAATGTTAACATTTTGGCCAGCTGTAGAGCAGTATTGACTATCTGGTCACAGAATCATGTATGTTTGGAGCTGGTACATGATAAAGGTAATTCAAATTATTGGAGAAGTAAAATGTCTATTCAATACATGGTGTTCAGATAATTGGATATCTATAAAAACAAATTACATGTGTACAAAAATACAACATGTTAAAAACAAAACATATGATGACATTACAGTCAAATAAAAGGAATAGCTTTGTAGAGCTTTAAAATTTTGGAAACTCTTTCAAAGTAAAGCAAAACAAAACAATATCCAGAAGCTATAAGAGAAAAATCCTGACATTTGGCCACCTAAGAATTAAAACTCATTTGCAATGAAAGGCACCATTATCAAAGTTTAAAATGACAGGTTAAGAAAAGAAAAAAAAATAACATAACAATCTAATTACTACTAATATCCATAACATGAAAAGTTCTGACCATCCAAAAGAAAAACAAAAATGTAACTCCCTAAAAAAAGTGAAAAATGGGGGGCCAGCCAAGTGACTCGTTGGTTAAGAGTTGGCTTGGGAGTGCAAGCTCTGAGTAGCAGGACTGCGGGTTCAGATCCCACATGGGCCAGTGACACTCGCCCTCTACAGCTAAGATGGTGAACAATAGCTCAACCTAGAACTGGGCTGCCCCGAGTCCCGGCAATGGCGTAGGCTGCAATTGGGCTGCAGTGGGTTGCTGTGAGCCACCGTGAGCAGCCATCCAATGGCCAGAGACTGATCTGCCTCACCCGGGAAGAGCACAATGATGATACCAACATGGGCCATTGAAGCGTTGTCCTCCACAACTAGACTAAAGAACAAAAGGACAGCAACTTGTCTGTTCCCCTTCCCCAATTCCCCAACGCTGTTCCCCTCCCCAAGTCCCCAATAAAACCTTTAAAAAAAAAGTGAAAAATGGGCAAATAATATGAGCTGGAAAATCACTGAACAAAAAACACAAAAGCTCATAAAATTTTTAAAACCTATTTAATCTCATTACCAATAAATACTAAATTACCACCAATAACATTTTTATATCAGGTGGCAACATTTAAAAAGATAGAAAACATTCAGTCATGGTAATACAGTAATAGGAGGGAAAAATGGGCATTCTCATACAATATTGGTTAGAGCTTAAGTTGTTAAAACTTTTGAAAGGACAATTTCACCATATTGACCAGAATTAAAAACATTCATTTGCTTTGAGACAGAAATTACTCCTGGTAGAATATATACTACAGACACACTTGCCTATGTATACAAAGATAAGATTTAAAGAATGTTCTTTATTACATTATTTGCATTAAGGATCAATTGTAAGACACCTAAATGACCACTGATGCAGGACTTATTAAATGAATCACAGCATCTTCTCACTAAGGAATATTAGACAGCAGTCAAAGAATGAGGCCGATCTCTAACACATTTGATTTACTGGAGACAGCAAGTTCCAGTTTGCAATTATATATAGAAAGGATAAATTAATTTATTTATAAAGCTTCAAATTATGAATACAGTTATAAACATAATACATAATTATGTAAAAGCAGAGAAAAGGTTGTGAGAATACTTACATTACTGGCCACAGTTACCACTGTGGCACCACCTTGTGGCAACAGTGTAAACTGTTTACAATTCACTCATTTCAATGGTTTTTAAATTTAGGGTTATTTGCTTCAACATTTTTCTCAAGAAGTGAAATCTATAAATATTGTATGCACAGTCTACTTTATGTTTAAACAATTCAAATTCACATTAAATGTGACCAAACTGTATGCCTATATTAGAATTTTTTGCCAAGAAAATATATTACTGATGCAATTAGAAATTGATTTAAATTTTTGATATATTCTCTGCACTATCCCATAAACTATTTTCCCAATTAAAATACATATTAAAATAGTACATATATGCAATATATTTGGATTAATGTTACAAACTGGCCTACATTTCTTTAACATCATTCCTCGACCACATTGAAGAGGCTATTAAACCCTTCTACTTGCTGATAGCTATCATTCTAAAACCTAGTCCATTACTTGCTGCCTTCAAAAACTTTAATGACTCTTCATTACCTATAAAATTGTGAAGTGTTTATGTTAAAGCACTGGCTGCATTTGTTTTCACATTCTCTGAGTCTAGCACAGTGATCAACTCAGGGGGTAGTATTCAATTAATGTGTTTCACTAGGAATCAGTCAACTGTGCAGTGGAATTGGGGGGAACACTGAACTATTTATGTAATTTGATCAGCTTCATAATTCTTATTTTCCCAGATGGGAAAATGCCACTCTCACCTGTGGAATCTGCCCTGCCCACGAATCAGGGATCAAACCTGTTCCAAGCAGGAGAATTTTAGAAACTCTAAGAAATGTATTTATTTCCCTGCATTGTTAGCTCTACTGTGACTCTAGAAGACGGGCCTTTTACTTCTCCTTAATGTCCAGTACACAATTCTGCTTTCCTCCTCCTGTTCCATTGCCTCTAGAAATGGGGTCTTGCTTTGTTCTCTTTCTTTGAGTAATTTCAGAGGGTGTCATTTTGCCCTTATTTCAATTCCTTTGTAGGGTCATTCACCTGGAGGAGGGGTCCACATGAGGCTAATTGGGGGCCTGCACCTCCTCTTATTGCTATAGTAGCCCAGACTTGCTGAGACTACATACGGTTTGCCTGCTAGGACATCTGTCATGGCACCTACAGATTATCTGTCCAGGGCACCTCACTCACTGGCCTGTACTTGCTTCTGTTGCTTGTGTTTTAAGTTCCTTTCTTTGCCTTCCTTGGTATTTTGGATATCTCTGGTCTGTAAATCCCTGCCAAAATAATCTACATTACAGTGCACAAAATTATGCCCAAGGCTCCCAGAACTGGATATATTGTGAATTGGGTCTACTGAAAGTAGGCTATAGTAACAATCGTCATAAAGAAATGACCTTACTCACTTCTGTTAATGTGATATAAGCATTAAGTGTTCATTGTCTATTTTTGTATCTGCATAACATTGTGTCATAATAGATCTTCTAGGCTCTGATGTCACTGAAGATCTCTAGAGTCCCACACTTATTTAATTTATTCTAATATGAATTCACAATTATTACTGAGAAGTAAATGTACTTTATTACTTGACTCTTCATCTCTGTTCTTTGTTTTAATTCTGGAAGCAATGTTTTAACCACACCTCCCAGCCTTATCATTTTCAAATTTATGTTTTCTGTGTTTACCAAAGTTATTGATAAAAATAATGAATCACTGCCAAGTACACAGCCTCATAACAGACAGCTAAAGAATGGTTGGCACTAACTTGTCAATTGAAACTATTTGTTCTTTGTTACACAATTTGTACATCAATGACTTGTATTTTTCTACTTTACTTCCAAAATACATAAAAATGGATAGGTACCTTTAAAAGTCTCTGCACATATATGTCCTAATAGGCAATTTGTTTTTGTATTAACAACAAAAATCAGACTCTAATAAAGCATCATTTTCTTTTTTGACATCTTCTCTATCCCTGTCAAAAGATTAGATTAACTTTCTTAATTATCTTCTGATGCTCAGAAGTTCTCTTACTAAATTTATCACCCTCTACTGCAATTGCTCACATGTCCTTTTTACTTCCAGCTAGAGTATGAGCTTTTGTGAGGTCAGGTCTCAGGTCTTTTATTGTTAAACTTCGCTGTCACTACTGAATAGCACTGTGCCTGACATAGAGAAGTGCTAAAGTGTCTTTTTAAAGATGAGTAAACAAAGTAATAAAAGATTCAGTAGATGACCACATCATTCTTACCCAATACTTTATCCCTTCCTCACAGTTTCTCTAAGATCACATAATTTCTTTTTAATCACCAAGCAATATTTATTGTTTAATTCCAATAGTTATTCATGGAATCCTGGTTTAGAGTCAGTTTATTGCCATTTCTACTGCCTAGTTTAAACAAAAAGCAATAATCTAAATATATACCTATAAATTTCATGATATTTCTTCAAACGCCAAAGCAGTAAAATCATTGCTAATTCATGTTGTAATTTTAAAAATATTATAAAACTACACAGATTTCACATATTAATCATTTTATAATAAAAATGATTTGATTATCTGGAAGAAAATTACTGAAACAGAGTCCTTCCAATGTATTTATAACGTCTGTAAAACTCCAAACCAAAAGCAGAGCAATGACAAAATAAGGATTTCTCAGTTGCCAGGAGTGTGTGAATTTTCAGATGAGAAATAAACTGGTATTTTTCATGTTTTCTGTGAATTCAGGGCTTAGAGGTAGTATGATGTCATTGGCATGGTTTTCTAAAGACATGGACTAATTTCAAGCACACTTTCCACAACTTCTCTTTTACCTTAGGCTTCAAAACCTCATAAACACTTAATAGTGCATTTATTTCCTTTTTTAGAGATAAATGCAATTAGTTAAACAGTTCAGCCAACTCAACGTTCTACTGTCTTTTGCAAGTAGTATAACTGATCGTTCAGTTTTCATTTCCCTGCTCTGAACATAACTAAAATTACTTTGTCATTGTCTTGGAATGTTTCATAAGTCTCAATTTGTTCTGGTGTTTGCTTTCTGATAGGTGTTCGAGTTACACTTTCTATTCATTCTACTTCCAGATTTCATAAATGTTCATGTTAAATTCAAACCAGTTGAAGAGCTCCCCACATTTTCAAATTAATTTGACTTTACTAGCACTGGCCATTCTTTATTATAATTACTTGCTTAATGTATGAGCTCCACGAGAAGAG